CAAGAACCAAGCCCAGGGCCTGGCAGTGAGAAGTACCATTCTGAATGCTGGAAGCTTCCATCAATGTCTGGCCCACTTTCCCCAGTCCTTCCCTCCCTGTGCAGAGAGGCCCGGTGAACCACGGGACAGGGGTAGAGTTTGGAGTCAGATGCCCTGTGTCAACCCTGGCCCTTGTGCGACATGGGCAAGTTATTTAACTTGGATCTGCCTCAGTTTCTTCTGTACAAATAGCCTTGCGTGCCTCTTCCAGGGCTCCTGTGAGGAAAAAGGCCACAATATGCAAACCTAGTGCCTGCTCAATGGGCAGAGCTCAACACACAAATCCTTGAACTCAGTCGAAAATGTGGAGCCAAAAGGTATCCATAGAAAAAATGAGTGGCTTCCATTTGGCACCCATGTCTTCAACAGAGCCATGGGGTAGCCTGCTGCTCTCTGAGCGAGGGACGGTGCAAGCTGCACTCAGTCCCCACCCTCAGAACAAGCCTGCTTAGCAGTAAAGCCAAGCCATTGTTATCTGCATGGCAAACCCATGGCCAAGGTCGGGCCTTCATCGCCTTCACTTCCTGTCTTGGTCTGTCCCCTCAAGACAAACCCTAAAACACCATTGTGCTGACTGGGCCTTGCCAGGTGCTAAGTGCAAGGGGCAGAAGCCGCTCAGCCTCTCTCCACACTGCTGCGCCCAGGTTTTACGAGGCCTGGGTAGACAGCGAGGTGGCTGCTCACACCCTAGACATTCAAGCTCAGGGCGTGGAAGGTGTGCTGGCCCAGCTCCTGTGAGGAGGCACCGTGGTGTGGAGGAAAAGCCTTTCGCTGGGGTCAGGAGACTTGGCTCACCTGTGCCACTGGCCTCTTTACGCATAGCTGAGGACTGGATTAGACAACCTAGTTCTCTCCAGCTGTCATACTCTCCAATTGTAAATTGTGGCGACAAGTCCACCTTCCTTAGCACTTCCCTTCCCGGGGTTAGCTGTGGAAGGCATCCTCTGTCTCTCACTGAGCAACCTCTACCCATGTTATGGCCCTTACACCAGAATGCCTGGTCACCTCGGCCACAAAGACTGGCCACGGTTGGGGACATTTTCCTCACATATTTACTACCCTTTGGTTAATAACTCAGAAGAGTGTAGGAACCTGGGGGAACTACGAACTTGGGCATCCCAGCACCTGCTAAAGCCATTCCCCTCTTATACCAACTGACCTCTCCTCTATAGATCACCGACACTGTCAGAGGTTTTCCATGTTGCTTGGCAGGAGCTGAGCGCAGCAGCAGGCTGTTCTTATCTGTGTGCTGGCATATGCCAGGGCAGAGCAGGCGAGGCACCAGAGCTACACAAGCCAGCAGCAAGCTCTGGCCACACGAGGAGGAAGTGGCTGGGGAGATGGTGGTGCTGAACGTGGGAACAAACTCAGAGTGAGCATGGAGGACCACCAAAGTCTAGGAGCTGTCTTTAAGATGCCACCCAAGCCTTTATGCTTCCCTTATGTCCTTATGCAGAAATCAGGCGGGAGAAGTGGTATGATTTGCCCGGAACCACCCAGCCATGGTGTGGGCAGCTAACACTAGAATGTGATCCTTTGCGTCTCAGCTCACTCCTTTTCCACTCAACTCTGCTGACCTCAAGAGTCTGATGAGGTCAGCAGATCCCTTGTAGAGTCTAAGAAACATGACCCTTGTGTCACTTAGGAGCAGAGTGGGCCAGGAGATGTGAGAATAACTGCCTCCCGACCCCAAGCATTCCTTCTTAATGTGACATTATTTCTTTTCTTTTTCTTTAATCCTTGCCACAAAATCTTGAGGGGTTCAGAGTTCAGTGAGGAGGGAGAGGTGGGCCTCTGTCCCTGCAGAATAGATAAAATAACCACAACTGTTCCTCTTCCTTAGTCTAGAGATCATTGGTGTGGGAAGGGCAGCACAAGGAGAAGATCAAATTAACCCACTGGTAGTGTGGCCTGTTTAGGACAAGTCTTACGGTGTGTGCAATTCAATGGGACATCTGAAGATTTCGTGATAACGAGCAATAGGGTCTGCCCCTGCCCGGGACCTTACAAGACCAAAGTCTGACAGACCATCTCAGCACGAGGAGGAGGAAGCTTGGAGGAAAAGATTCAAGGGATTAATTATTCAGTGGGTATGACCCAGTTCCCTGTGGGGAGGCTGGATGAGAAGACAGCTCACCAGTTCCTTATCACAGCAGGAAACTCAAATACCTCACAGGGTAATGACCTCTTTGCAGCCACAGAGAAGCCATTTAAGGTGAAGAAGAACGAGAGGAAGAGAGAGGAGGTGGAGGAAGAAGAAGATGAAAAGGGGGAGGGAAAGAGGAAGAGGAGCCAAAGTTCACTCATTCAACAAATATTTATTGAGCCCCTCTTATGTTCCAGGCCCTCCAGTGACTTACATGTGGATTTTAATAGAGGAAAGAGATGATGGAATTTATAAACAGGAGGCTTGAATGACATCTCAGTTCAGCCCTTAGCTCCATTACCCTAGGTGGGTTCCAGCCTGTCTAAGGCCAATTTCTCATCTGGAAAATGGGAGTGAATCTACCTGGCCAATCACGAAGATGAAATGATCTTTATAAAACATAAAACACAGTGTAAATGCAAGGTTTAAACAATAATGACATAATATGACACACTTTCCCTGCCCTAGAGAAGGTGTTTCGGAACGCAATCCGAGGTACCTATTTGGCTAACATCACATTCTCTGTAATTTGGGCAAATTGTATGTTTCAGCTTGCCAGGGGAGACACAGCTGGTCACAGCCCCGGCTCCAGTCTGTGTGCCTGAGATGCTTCAAGAAGGGCCAGGAGGGGTGGAGTTCACATCGAGACCCACCCGGCCCTGTGTCCAGCCTAGCCTGGATGAATGAGCCAGGAGAGACCCAAGATCCACAGGGCGAAGGAGACAACCAGACACGCGGTCAGTCGGAAGCAGAAGGAAATTCATCTGTGCGCCATAGGGGCAAGTCACTGGAGCTCCACACACCCTCCCCGCGCACGGGCATTTCCGGTAATGCACGGATGCCCCCTACACGCGGGGTTTCTGCAGCACAGGGCAGGGACTCCCCAGCTGTGACAGACTGGCCAGGTGGGCCTCTTTCCCAGATGCTAAGAATCCTTCCCCAAGGTCCAGCAAACTCCTCTCATCCTGTTTCCACGTGGCTCCTCAGCACCCACCAGGCCAGCCCCTAAGGGCACACTCAGGCCTCCAGCTGTCCCCTAAGTCCCGGCCTCTCCGATGGGCCCTGCTTCTCTCCTGGACCCTCACAGTCCCTCCTCCTGCAACCAAACCGAGCTCCTGTGATGGCTACGCTGGCCCACACTCCAAGGGCTCCTGGGAGGGGCCAGGTGTCCTCCCCTCTGCGTTCCCTCCAACGCCGGGCATTCTATAAGTTCTTCACCTCCTGCAAATGTGTACTTAGGGCTTCAGGATAGTCTCAGACTGCTGCATACAGACGGGAGGCAGAGGAGGGAGGGGAGTGGGAAGAATGCCAAAATGGAAGACCTGGGCCTGTATTCCAGTTATCCATCTGAGTCCAGTAAGTTCTGCAAGCTTGAGAAAGTCTCTTCAGGCCAGGCCTCAGTTTCTCTGTTTGGTAATACGAGGGTTGCTCTAAATAACCTCTCTATAAAATTTGGCCTTACAGAAAACCAGCTAGCCTGGGACACAAAGTATATGAGGCCTGGTCCTAATTAGCCACAAACCCGGGGCAAGTTTTCTGGCTGCTCAGAGCCTATCTCCATGTCCATAAAATTAAGGGGCAGGGGCACTGTAACTACCACTCCCAGGGTTCGAGACTTCATGAAACACTGGTTGTGAGACAGCTTCGTGGACAATAAAGGCCTGAGCTAACTTGGGATTCAGACTCCTTCAGGCAGCAAACAGCTAGTGACCATATGCGACATTACAGGGACCGTGCCAGCCGGAGCGGGTTGCCAGACCCAGACAGGAAGGCTGCAGGGGGTTCCCTGACCTGGAGGACATGCAAGTGAAGACACCTTAGCTCAATGCTGGTGTATCTGAGGGACAGCAAAGCACTACGGGGTGCCAACCTCCTCTGGGAAGGTAAGGGAGGCTTCTGAGAGGGAACAGTGTGTCCTGTCCATGGTGAGCTGCTCTTGAATGGGGGGTTCTAGAACCAGGGCATAGAGGGGAGGCAGAAAAGGAGGCAGAACAGTGCGGCTGAGCTCCAACGGGGTGAGGGGGGAGGATTGAAGGCCAACAGGAGAGGAGCCCGAGGAGGATCTTTGGCAGCACTGCGAGGGACAGAGTAGAGGGGACAAGCAGTGGATCCAGGAGAGCAGTGGAAAGGCTCTTACATTAGTTCACAAGGGACCACAAACAATGCCATCATCGATTTCTGACTGCACTGAGCCTTCCAGACCCTAGTCTCCACAGAGCTCGGAAGCCACAGACCTAACCAGGTCTCTTCTCAGAATGGAACCTACACCTTCTAAAGAAGATGCAACGATCACATTTTCAACTCTTAGGGCTAGGGATTTAGCTCAGTGGTTCTGCCGCCTGCCTCACAAGCGCAAGGTCCTGAGTTCAATCCCAGCTACCAAAAAAAAAAATTTACCAAACACATTTTCAACTCTTGGTCCAGCAACCTTTGGTGTGCTGAAGTCACTGTCTGCATAGGACCTGGGCAGCTGAGGGGCTCGGAGCCAGGCTGGGGTCCCTGCTTGGGGGCAGAAAGACAAGAGAGCCCGCCCAGCACACAGCAGAAGTCACACAGGTCTCTCACCTCCCCAGATAAATCTCAGGCTCAACCCCGCTTCTCCATGAGCCCAGGGAGGCTGTGCGACCCTGCAGGTCAAGGGCAAAGGCAGAGGGCTGGGGAGGGGAAGGAAGGTTCCTCCAGCCACTGTTTCTCCAATGGGGTCACGTGCACTTGGACTTGAAGAAAGAGCCTAAGAGCTCCTACACCCTCCTCAGCCTAAAAGCAGCCCCTGGGAGCCACTCAATGCATAAAAGAGACCAGCATTGTGACTTACTCACGTGATTTTCAGGCATCACAAGGGCTAAAGTCTTCTCCTTTCAGGACGAGCCCTGCACAGAGTGCCATGGTCCTATAAAAACAAGAGCCCCACAGCTAATGTCAGTTTCATGATCCAACATTACAGCCTCCTGTCTTCTCCTCTTCAAGAGGGTCCTACATGGCGCTGATCATAGCTGAGTTTCCTAAATACATCATTTTGGCCACTTTGCCTCACAGTGGCCCTCGAAACAGACAGACTCTTCGTGTGCTCTGAGTTTTGCATGTGAAGAGAGGCTAATAAGCAAATTCTGTTGTCTATCACTGGCTGGGTGCCTTGTGTCCTTACCCTATCCCTACACGAAGCCTTTGCCTTAGTGAAAACAGAAAGTGCCAGAATTTCTAAGCTTGAGACAGAATGAAAGAAAATCAAGCAGGTATAAAACTTGTTAACAAGTCACCCATGTGAGATCTATAACACTGCCTAAGATATAAGGGACTAAAATGCTAAAAAGACTAGGAAGTTATGGAAGTCTCCCATCTCATCATGGCTGTCTCCTAAACAAATTATTATTTTGGGCTCCAGTGACCGCCCACATGATTTGGTTACATACTGTTGCTGCTGCACAAAATATCTCTGCACCTGTTTGGAAAATGAAGCCCCGCATTACAACATATTTCTAATGGTTTACTTTCACATTGAAAAAAATCTCAGTGTCTAAGAGGCAGCCTCAAGACAATGAAAACTAACACAGATGTGAAATTTGCAACCTATAGTAGGGAATGTCTGTACTCCAGGAAGTGCACACTGCTCTGCAGAGCGCCAGGCCTGCCCGGCCACACAAACAGGCTCACGTGTGTTCTCCCCAAGACACAGACAGCCATGATCAGAGCAGAAGCTACAGTGCTGCCAGCCATCATGTGTACCATCAAGCCCACGCCCCTCGGGCTGTGCCAGCTGACAGACAGGCTGGCCTGCTTTAGCCACATTCTCTCGGCCTGAGCTGTAGGCTGTGTGCTGCTGCCTCAAGCCAGAAGTCGGAGTGACTGGAGAGTTCAACTGCACTGCTCCTGCTTCTCCTGGGAAGCTGGGAGTGGGTGGGAGAGTTGGACAACTGATCCCAAATTCTACTGTCAGGGTCTGCGAAACCAGAGACCACTTCCTGCTCCCTGGATCTCAGGAACAGAAGTCCTTACGTACCAGGTGACATTGTCAGGGCCACGAGGGCTGGCCCATTGGTCAGACTCCCATAGAGATGTAGGCACACTGATCCAGCCACTCAAAGGACCAACCCACGTGTCTCCTTTGTCTAACCAACAGCCACATCTGCTTTGCCCTCCCTGTAACACCACCCAACCAGAAGGTCCTAGAGCCTAGCATTTCTGGGACATCTGTTTCTTCATCTACAAAATGAGGGGCTTGGCATAACTGCTGACTCCCTCACCATGGACCACTTTCAGCTGCCACTGCCCACGGACCCTGACTTCTAGAGATACCTACCAAATTCGTTACTGGTTAGAAGGTCAGGGAGAGCATAACCTGTGCATGAGCTTTGCACAGGGTGGGTAGCAGGTGATGCTTCACCTAATCCTTCTTGCAAGCTTGGAATGAAGGAGTACAGTATTTCATTACAAAAGGGTAAACTGAGGTACAGCATAGCCAAGTCCCTGGCCAAGCATCTCATTAGCACTAACCACAGCCGTCCTGGGACTCACGGAGCTGGCCTGAGTCCACAGCCAGGCTTGTTCCCTGACACAATGCCTCCTTTTGTAATCAACTAGAATGAAGAAACACTGTCTCCCCTTGGACTTGCCACCATGCTGGTCCCCAGCAAAGAAGCAAGAGCTCTCTGGTCTCTTGGGGGCTTGATTTGGGCCTGAAATGCCTTTCTGGAAACCTGAGTGGCCTCGTGGGTCCCAAGGAAGATGGCAGGCCAGAGGGAGAGGAACTCAGCAATCCTTCCTTTCTGGCATTCTCCAAGCCTAGCTGCACAGAGACGGGGTCTTCCCCGAGGGACCCTAAACTCTTAGACAAGGCCTGGCACCCCCAGGTATAACATCAATATTTGCTGAATAAAAGAATGGATGAAAATAAGAATGAATGAATGCAGAGCTCAGATGCGCTCAAGGCTTATTCAAGAACCATCTCAGACCACAGCACCCAAGTGGAGGTCTCCATGCCCCAGACCCCCAGACAGAGGACAAAGACTCAGACCCTGAGTCAGGTCTGCTCTTTACTCCAAACACCAGGAAGCTTCTGACACGGAAAGAGAATATCTGGTCAAAGGGGACCCAGGGGAATGGTTAACAGCTCAGGCCCTACAGTCCAGCAAACCAAGATCCCAGCTCCGTCTCTTTAAAAGAGCTGGGTGGCCCTGGGCAAATCACACAACCTCTGGGGGGTCTCAGTTTCTTATCTAAAAGTGGAGATAGCATCAGTGCCCACTCCAAAGGGCATTCTGTGGATGACCTGCGACAGTGCTGTAAAGGACTTAGCCCCGTGTATGTGCATAGCTAGTGCATGCATCAGCTATTATAATCTGCCTTAGAGTAGGTGGTAAAGACCAAGCACATCTACACCCTTTTCCTGGTTCAATCCTAGCCCTCCTCCTAACTCACTCAGTAACCCTGAGCAAACTACCTAACCTCTCTGTGCCTCAGTTTCCTGGTATGTAAAATAGGGTCAATTGTGAAGATTAAATGAGTTAAAAAGCTTAGACTAATGGCTGGCACTCAATAAAAGTGAGTTACTATTCTCCTTTACTGCTGATAGTAAATTCCCACTCCTCGGCCAAAAAGGTGAGCACAGGACTCAAGGAAGCTTCCCTCGGGTAGCTTTCCTCCTTGCCACATTCACTGTACAAAGCATGTGCACGTGCTCCAATTTGCAAAGTCCTGGGGAAAGCCTAGTCCTCTTGGGTCACTGGGAGGTTTTGTGAGGCCATCAGGGAGCTGTCTGTAGCCATGGACCACTGGACAGAGGACTCTGGTGCAGGGATGCCGAGATTAGCTGTTCTCTTCTCAAGGCTTCATTCTTCAGTGCTTCCTTGACTCTCTGAGCCTGCTCTGAAAGCTTCCAACATATCCCACTTATGCATCAGCTTATTCAAGCTTGGTTCTTGTCACTTGAAACCAAGAGTCCTGACTGCCAACAGCTCTGAACAGATGGCTGCTTTATCGCCACCAAATCCACCTAGGAAGAAAACCCAGCTGTCTACCCTCAGTGAGATCCAGGCAGCAGGGTAAAGCAAACATGTGCAGCAAGGTGGCTACAAACTGAAGTGAGGGGAGGCCACTGAGAGCCCCAACCATGCCCTTCCTGGCAGAGGCAGATGCTGGAACCAAGAGTGAGCTGCCAGGTCTTGCAGTCCCTGATGCAGACCCAGCCCAGACCTGGACCTTGTTGCCATCAGCATTAGGAATGGAGAAGAAGAGAAACAAGGAAGCTGGAGCTGATGTTCATTGTCTTCAAAGTGGTGCAGGAGAAAATCCAGATAGTTACTTAGGACAACTCTGTAAAGGAAGAAGAAAGGGAGAAGGGGCTGGGGAGGAAATGGCCTTGCTGGAGCACTTAAAGGTATCATGCACTAAGGGACAGACTCTTCCACCTAATCTGGGAGCTGGGTAATCATCCAGCCCATTTTCCAGGTGAAGAAACTGAGTCTCAGAGGTACCAATAACTATCTCACTTGCCAAGGTCACACCACTAGTGTGCTCTGCCTCTTCCACCTGATGTACTGGTCTCTTTCTGATTCCTGAGCCTGAGGTCTCCTCACCTGAGTCATTTATGCTGTCACTCACCCCTGTGACAGCCAAAGTGTAATGGTGATGCCCTCCTGGCCCCTCATCCCTGACAAGTCAGAGGGAGGGGTGGCGTCCCAGAGGCAGGAGCACACAGGAGAGGCAGTGTCCTGACACCCCAGGTGCATCCTTAGGCAGGGTTCCGTCTTGGTTCCTTAGTATTTTTAATCTCAGAGGTCGCCAATGTGATTCTGAGATGGCTTTTATCAGTGAGCTTTAACCAGGGTGGGCCTAGCAGAATTCCATGGGAAGTTAGTTTGGGTTTTCTCAGTCACCTGACCAAAGAGATTCTACCCAGCAGGTGTCAGTACCTGACGCACGAGACTGTGCTAAACAGGCTCTCTTTGCTTTGTCTCCTTTCCTCACCATCTTCACTGCCAGCACCGCGGACAAACTATTGCTACATCCCTGTGCCTTCTAATAGACTCTCTTAAGTCCCTTCAGGAAAAAAAGCTCATCTTCATATGTGTTTTTTAAGAGTTGTAGAGAAACACAAAATTAAATCCCAGACCTGGTAGTGAAAACTAAGAGCCATTCCCCACAGTCCTCCTACCTCCCCTGCAGCATGAGGTGAACACACACACAGCCACCTGCTTCCCAGGTCCAGGAAGCCTGGCACCAAGGGCTGCCCAGGCATAACCTAGACAACTAGGGGTGTGAGGCCTGAGCAGGCATAGCACTCCCTGGCACAGAAGGGGAAGGTCAGTAGACACTCCAGGGGGGCTCACCTGCTGATCCCACAGGACACAGTACCCAGGGGCCCACCTGGCAGCTTAGGGCTTTTCTCTATTTCCAGCAGCTGGCTTCTGGCAGTGGCCACTGCAGTCATTGGGACTATCCAGGCAGGTATTTCCCTTACCTTTCTTTTTCTTTTTATAACTTTGTTCTCTGCTCTTTAAAAATAAAAAGGATCTCACTGACTTTTCTTGGAGCGTGATTTGGTTCTTCCCCACTGGCTGGGAAGGAGATGGTGCCACTTAGCAAGGCACACCCTGGTGCCAGAGGGGTCTGCAGCACACTGACAGGGATCTGTGGGCAACATAAGAGCTAGAAATCTTAAAGGCAATGGAAAGCTCACATGGTCCCTGGTTTCTCTTAAACTATCCAGGAGAGATATTAAGCATTTGCTGACCTCCCTGGTCGGGTCTGTAAGAAATGCTAAAGAGGACAGCAAAAAAGATCAGGGCTCAGGATGCTGAGGCAGGAGAAGGAAGAGCACTGCTTCAGGCAGCCAGCACCCAGACTTGAATGTCAGCCTTGCCACTTGCCTATCCTGAGGCCCTGGGGAAGTCA